GGTATCGTTGACCTTTCTATAATTATTTAGAGTAATATTATATGTACATAATATTGTATATAGAAGTGTACATTACACTCACATTGAGTGAGACCTACCAAAACTAAAAAATAAAATGGAGCTCATTCCATGTGAGTGTTATGTACATCTTTATGTAGATTTATTATTAACTTGTAGCAATTTCCGATTATTTAACTTTTAGGCAAATCAAGCGATATGAAAAAGTAATTGGCGTTATATGCACTCCACTGATTAACAAAAATAAAAAATAAAAAATTATAGAAGTCATTCTGCCGCATCTAAATTATAGTGGTAATACCACAATATATATATAACAAAAAAATAGAAAAGGATGACCGCATTTTTCAAAACAACGAAAACTAGTCATTTTAGCTTGTGAATATACTATTTGGTAACATCGAACACTCCACCGGCTGGGAATAGCTAACTCGAACCATCACCTCGCCGGTTGAACACCGAGTACCTATAAAGAACTCTCACACTGGAGGAGTTTTTCGGTGAAGAGCTTCCGATACTTAAGTCAGTATAATTTTTTTTCAATTCTCCCCAGTAAAAATGTATAAATCGTACTCAAAATGTAAAGTTCACCCCTATATATAGAGGTGAGGTACCTATTTCTATAGGCTGCTCGGATTTGCTGAGCTGGCTGCCCAAAGCTGACTGAGCCTGCCCGTTCGTACGCACATAGTGTGCGATCGTCATACATCAATCAAGTGCGCCACGTGTTCTCCGCACGTGGGTAAAGATCCTTCTGAAATCTTCTCGAATGCTCGACCGTGTCTAGGTTGATTCTTGGACTGTTCTCAGTCTGTGAAATGGTTGATCAAATGACCCTTTGCTCGATAGGTCGATCTTCGACCAGATCTTCTATGGACCTGAGACTTTCCTGTTCTCCTCATACAAGAATCTCTTGTACCCTGTTCTCGTGGTGTTCGACCACGACCACTCTGCTCGATCACGATGTCACATTCAGTTTGCTGGACTCGTTCGACCGGCCTAGGTGCGGTTTACTCTTTTAGGTATAATATCCCATATCATCTAGTCCCTATACTCTGGTCGAGTTTGACTGACTCGATCCAAGAGTAGGCTTTCGTTCTTCCCACTTGACTCACAAATCGACCACCTAGTAAATATTCTTCTGGCTTTCGACCGCTTTTCCTCTCGACTGCCATTGTAAAGCTCACGCTTGCCACTTGTCATGTCTGACAGATGCATCAATCATTGCGTCTTCTCGCGATTTGTGCCTCTTCATACTTCATGTACAGTAAATGCACCATTGCTGTTAGATTTACCTTTAATCCAACAGCTTTATTTTTGCCTCTTCACGTTTTCTCCTGTACTCCTAAAAATACATACACTTAGGAATTTTTATGCTTTCTCACCTTCACCGATCTTCGAAAATACTCGTGCCCTAATTCACTTCAAACTTGGCTTTATGCTCTTAGCAATCAATCTTTCGGCAATTTTCACATTTTCGGGCAACTTCTCTCCGCTGCAACGATGATTAAGTTTTCTCACTCTTAAATTCGCGTTTTTTGTTTTTAGTTTTTTCTAGTCTTCCGATTTTCGATTCTCCTTTTTCGAAATTTTACTTAGACCCCTGCAAAAATTGTAATAGCCCAGTTTGTTTGTTTGTTTGTTTTTTTTTTCTTTTTTTTTTCTTTTT